AAAGTCCTCATCATAATTCCAGTTACTCTGAAACTAATAGAAGAGAAATTAGGAAGTTGTCTTGAACACATTGGCACCGGATATCACTTCCTAAATATAACACCAGTAGCACAGACACTGAGAGCAACAATTAATAAGTGGGACCTCTTGAAACTCAGAAGCTTTTGTAGGGCAAAGGACATGGTCAATAAGACAAAACAACAACCTACAGAATGGGAAAAGATCTTCACCAACCCCACATCTGACAGAGGGCTGATATCCAGAATATATAAAGAACTCAAGAAACTAGACATTAAAATACCTAACAGTCCAATTAAAAGATGGTCTATAGAGCTAAGCAGAGAATTCTCAAAAGAAGAATTTCAAATGGCTGAAACATTTAAGGAAATTCTCAACATCCTTAGTCATCAGGGAAATGCAAATCAAAATGACTCTGAGATACCATCTTACAACTTTCAGAATGGCTAAGATCAAAAACATTGAAGACAGGGGTTGGGGATTTAGCTCAGTGGTAGTGAGCTTGCCTAGCAAGCACAAGGCACTGGGTTCAGTTCTCAGCTCTGAAATAAAAAAAAAATTAAAAAAAAGAATGCAACGCATTTGGGGGCTGGAGAGATGGCTCAGAGGTTAAGAGCACCGACTGCTCTTCCAGAGGTCCTGAGTTCAATTTCCAGCAACCACATAGTGACTCACAACCATCTGTAATGACATCTGATACCCTCTTCTGTATACATAATAAATAAATCTTTAAAAAAAATTGAAGACAGTTTATGTTGGAGAGGATGTGGAGCAAGCAGAACACTCCTCCACTGTTGGTGGGAATGCAAACTTGTATAGCCACTTTGGAAATCAGTATGGTGGTTTCTCAGAAAATTGGAAATCAATCTTCCTTAAGACCCAGCTGTAGTACTCTTGGGCATATACCCATGGCATGCTCAATCATACCACAAGGACACATGCTCAACTATGTTCAGAGCAGCATTACTTGTAATAGCCAGAACCTGGAAACAACCTAGATGTTCCTCAACTGATGAATGGATAAAGAAAATGTGGTATATATACACAATGGAGTACTACTCAGCAGAGAAAAACAATGACATCATGAGAGAGGTAAGCTAGACTCAGAAAGACAAACATGGTATGTACCCACTCATAAGTGGATACTAGATGTAAAGCAATGGATAACCAGAGTGCAACCCATAGCTCCAGGGAGACTAGATAGTAAGGAGGACCCTAGGAAAGACACAGGAATTCCCCAGCAATGGAGACATAGATGACATCTACATGAGCAAACTGGGCATGGGTGGTAGTGGAGAGCAAGGGATGGGGGAACGAGAGCTTAGGGGAGTGGGAGGTTCGAGCTGGATCAGGAACAGAGTGGGAGAACAAGGAAAGAGATACCATGATAAATGAAGCCACCATGGGAATAGGGAGAAGCATAGTACCAGGGAGGTCCCCAGGAATCCACAAAGATGACTCCACCATAGACTACTAGCAATGGTTGAGAGGGTGTCTGAGCTGACCTACTCTGGTGATCGGATGGCTGAATACCCTAACTGTCATCATAGAACCCTCATCCAGTGACTCATGGAAGCTGATGTAGAGATCCACAGCCTCCCAGGTAAGCTCCAGGAATCCAATCAACAAGAGAGAGGAGGGATTCTATGATCAAGAGATACCAAGACCATGATTGGGAAAAGTATAGAGACAACTAGACAAACTAGTGGAAACACATGAACTGTGGACCAATAGCTGAGGAGCCCCCATGGTACTGTACTAGGCCCTCTTGATAACCAAGACAGTTGTTTAGCTTGAACTGTTTAGGGGTCCCCTAGGCAGTGGGACCGGGACCTCTCCCTAGTGCATGAACTGACTTTTTGGAACCTAGTGCTTATGGTGAGACACTTTGTGTAGCCTTGGTGCAGGGAGGAGGGGATTGGACCTGCCTCAACTGAATGTACCAGGCTCTGCTGACTCCCCATGGGAGACCTTGCCTTGGAGGAGGTGGGAATGGGGGGTGGGTTGGGAGCTTAGGTGGGGGGTGGGAGGAGGGAAAACAGGGGAATCTGTGGTTGATATGTAAAATGAAAAGAAAATCTTTTAATAAAAAAAGGAAAAATATTGTATTAATAATTCAAAATCCATACTAATGTATTTTGAGATTAACAGTATTTTATCATTTCTTTTTTTATCATTTCTATATAACAACACCCCATTTTCTTTAGAAAGAGATTGACTATGACCATTAACCATTTATAATAATGTGAGAAATTCATGGATGTTTGAAAAGGAGAGTTATTTATTAAGGGATGAAATGGGGATCACACACTCACTAATTCAAAAGAAAGATGGAATAGGCTCCAGACCAGATGGCCAAATTGTGTCAGGAAGCCTTCCATGTCCAAGAGAGCATGCGACCCTCCCTTTTCCTTTTAAGAGGTCAGGTAGATTGCTGTGGAATGGTCTGTATGTCAAGTGTGTTGCTGATTGGTCAATAAATAAATCACCGATTGGCCAGAGACCAGGCAGGAAGTATAGGCAGGACAAGGAGGAGAATAAAGCTGGGAAGTGGAAGGCTGAGTCAGAGAGACACTGCCAGCCGCCATGATGAGAAACAGCATGTGAAGATGCCAGTAAGCCACGAGCCATGTGGCAAGGTATAGATTAATGGAAATGGATTAATTTAAGCTGTAAGAACAGTTAGCAAGAAGCCTGCCACGGCCATACAGTTTGTAACTAATATAAGTCTCTGTGTTTACTTGGTCGGGTCTGAGTGGCTGTGGGACTGGCGGGTGACAGATTTGTCCTGACTGTGGGCCAGGCAGGAAAACTCTAGCTACACAGCCCAGAGTACCAGGATTGTCGTATTGGAGCCGATCTCAGAGTACCAGGATTGTCGTATTGGAGCCGATCTCAGAGTACCAGGATTGTCGTATTGGAGTCGATCTCTCTAATAGTTACAGCAGATTTCATACTTGTCTAGTCTTACACTTTAAAGTCACTGTTGCCTCAAATGAGAATGTCCCCAGTAGGGTCATATATTTGAATATTGGTTCCCAGTTGGTGAGAACAGTTTGGCAAGGAGGCAAGGTGTGACCTTATTGCCAGGGATGTCATTGGGGGTTGGGGGAGATGGGCTTTGAAGATCTTCCAAGATTCCATGTTATTTCCAGTCAGCTTTCTCTGTTTCCTATTTGTGGATCAATGTGTAAGTTCTCTGCTATTACTCTAGTACCATGTCTACCTACCTTCTGCCATCCTCTCTACCAGAAGACTACACCCCTATGGACCCTTGAGCAACACATTAAATTCTTTCTTTTCTGATTCATCATACAGCAATTAAAACATTACCAAGATACCCACTCATCTCTGTGATGTTCTAATGAAGAGAGAAAAAACGTCTAGTTACTCCACATTGGTCTATGATCACAGACTAAACAAACATTCCATCCAAGTACCAATCTTCATGAAACAGTGAGTTCACTGGGGTTAATGGCAGGAGCATGGCTGAAGGATGAGAACAGAACAGGGATTACTTAGAGGTAGCAGCAGCAGTGGAAGCAGCACTAAAAAGCTTACTGGATGCTAGGTGAGAACCCAAACAAGCCACATCCCTGCAGCTCACTGTATGACTTGCAGGCAGTTCCACTGATGAGGTGGTCTCCGCCCCTTCAGTCCTTACAGCTTATATAAACTTCAGCAGGGAGGGTCCTGTGAATCTTGTAAATGTCTAGGAATTTCCCATGCCTATTACACGTGTACTTCCTGAAGGTGAATGAAACCCCTTTAGGTTGGGATATTTCACTTCAGAGGATATTTCTCTTGGTTGCATTGCATATACTGTCATGATGGAGGGAACATGAATGATTTGATAAAACATTGTTTAGAGTGTCATGGTGGACTTCCGTAAGATGGAGCCATATACATCTAGAGAGGGTCTTGCCCCATTGATCTACCATAGAAGTTTCCTAACAGATATTACCAGAAAGTTTGTCTCCTATTTGATTCTAGATCTCACCATTTGAAGAGTCATACACTTTGGGCAACTGAGTTTGAAAGCCATCTACAGCAGGGTGACCCCATCTGCTCTAAGTGTCCTGGTAGTGAGTCTCAGAAATACTTCTTAGCTTAGATACTATATCTTGCTTTGCAACTTGGCAATTGCATGAACATGACGGACAGGAGTCTGTAAAATTCTCCAAACAACCTAAAGCCCTCAGTGGTACTAAAATGACTAAAGTCTATCTTGACCTGACTACACTGGGTTTGCTTAAACACTGCTAAGCACTCATCTTCCACATTGACATGGATTCTGCTTTCAAAACCATGTCTTCAGGCTTATGTGACTAGTAATTTTCCATATCAGCCCATTTACTATCCATGAACATCTTGTTTGCAGTCTTAATTTCTCTACACATTTCATAAATTCTTTAATTTGTTACTTAGTAGCCTCACTCTTGTTCCTGACTTTCCATAACATTAGTCATCATAGACTAGGAAAAAAATACAATGGAACATAAAAGAACAGGAATAACAAAAGCAATGATAGGAGAAAGGGTAGTCAGATACAGCTTAGCAGCTGACTTCCAACTCTACTACAGAGCTAAATGAGAAGGACTGAATAAGATTCACAAAAACAAGTATATAGACCATTGCAATGTAAAACAAGACCCAAAGACAAGTGCTAATGCAATGGGTATATTAATTTAACATGGAAATGGGAAAAAAGCGTCATATGGTGATTGTTGTAGGGTTCTCTAAAGGAATAGGACAATGGAATGCAAATATTAAGAATTTATTAAACTGGCTTACAGGATGTGGTCCAGGTAGTCCAATAGTGGTGGTCTCACTATGATAAGTGAATGATACTAGCAGCTGTTCAGTACAAGAGGCTGGATGTCTCCACAGTTCCAATCTGGTGCTGAAGAATTTTGGATGATACTTGAAGAGTTGCTGGTTTTTAGTCTGTGTTGTAATCCAGAAGATGTTGGATTTAATAAAGGTTGCAGCAAGTGGATGGAGAGTTAGGGCAAGCAGTGAGAAAGCACAATTTCTTTCTTCAATGTCCTTTTGTATTATCACCAAAAGAGTATAGCCCAGCTTTATTGTGGTCTTCCTTCTTCATACGATGTGATTAAGAAAATCCCTTTTAAGAGTGCCCAGAAGATTGGGTTTCCATTGATTCCAAGTCAGGCCATGGTGCCAACCAAGATGAGCCATCATAGTAATTAACATCACAAACACAAATGCACACACCTTCACACCACATCGGGCATTCAAATTTTTACCAAAAAGGGAAATTCATTGTACATAGGTCATCTATGTACTGATGCTATATCTGTGGTGACTGTGTTGAGTGTGTGTTACATGTATGGGAAGAAAGGCAACACCTTTAGAGGGAACAGAGTCATCAGAAGGGGGCAGACTGAGAGTAAAAGGGGAAAGAGGTAGAAAATACTGATGCATATGTACTGATGTCAAATTGGAATTTTTACTTGGCCTAAGTAGCCTAAGTAACTTTTCCTGTTGCTGTCATAAATTACCTGACAAGGGCAACATATAGGAGAAAGGGTTTAATCTGGTCATTTATCAGTTTGGTTATGTAACATATTGATATCTCCAGACTTGAGTGATCTGCAGGATTCTGATGTTTGTAATGACTTCTTTCAAGCACATCAAATACATCACATATATTTTAAACAATGCATCATGTTTATCCACATTCTGTATTAATACTGTGTGTGTGCACTATAATTCCTTTATATCCATTACTATGTAAGTTCTAAGAAAAGACATTGCTACACTACTAATATTAGTGTACTTCAATTGCTATTTTGAGGAGTGTATACTAAAAATGGATCCTGCCAGACTCATTTTATGTAGAAGGTTTCTCTACAATATGAATTCACTCATGGCCCCTAACGATTTAAGGCTTTGTCACTACTTCATTTGTAGGGTTTCCTATACTAAATGTATTTTTTGATGTTAAGTTATGAAGAGTAGAATAAATTGCTTCTCTTATCAATTAAGTATGTTAGTTTCATTCATGGCTAAATTTCTCATGTTGAGTTTGCAACAACTGTTCAACATGTAGCTACTGTCTTTACTTTTACAAAATTCATCTACACTATGAAATTTTTGCTAAATAAGGGAAACATAAAATTCTTTATCATATTCTTTGTATCTATAGGACTTTTCTGCAGTGTGAAAGCTCTGGTGTCCAGTAGAGGCACAACACATCTAAAGGCTTTGTGACATTATATCTAGTACAGAGACTGGTGGCAACAGAGGTATGAAGAAGAGGGAAATGCCTTCCTGTGTCCCTTGCTGTCCTACACCGATTTGTTGGAGTCATGAATGGTATGACCAGAAACAACTTTGGGGAGTAAATATTTCATTTCAACATAAGGGTCAGTGTTCCTCTTCCAGGGATGCTATGACTGGAAGGGAAGCAGGAACCATGGTTCCTAACATGTTTATCAGCCTCCTACTCACCCACAATTCTCATGTGACCCAGGACCTCAGGGTGGTACTGCATGTCCTAGGTGGACTCTCCTACATCACTTACCGATCAAGAAAATGGCCCCCTGACATGCCCATAAGGCACTCTGATCCAGGAAAGCACCTACTCAGATAATGGTGGCCTAGGTGAAGTTGACAGCTGAAGCTAAGGAGGACATTTGCATCTGCAGGGTTTCTCACCTGTATCACTGCTTTGGTGTTGCTGAAGATTGAAGTATTGTTCAAGGCTTCGGGACAGTCATTGTACTTGGAGAGTGTCTCTGCAGTATGAAGTATCTGCAGATACTCACAGTGTAAAGAACAGGTAGAGAACTTACCACACTGATTGCTTTTGTTGGCTTCCTCATCAGAATGAATTCTCCAATGCTTATATAGTCATGAGGAACAGGTAAGCCCCGGTCCTCTTCTGCACATGAATAGGGTTTCTCTCAGATGAGAATTACTGAGGTTGAACCAGGACTGAACAATAATTCAAACCTTCAATAACACATCCTTCACATTATAGCTTTGATGTCCTGGATGAAGATTGTTGGGTTACTTAAAATATGAAGAAACACTAAAAGCTTATCACTCCCTTCATAATTGGACTTCTTCTCTCCAGATTGAACTTTATTGTTGGTAGAAAGTGTTGACTCAGTGGTAAAGCACTCACCATTCAAGTATGTGCAAAGTGATAAAATCTTGCTAAATATTCATTCCTTATCCGAGACAAATGTATGACTTCTCTACTCAATGGAATCACTTGTCTCAGATAAGGACTGAATATTTAGCAAGATTTTATAACTTTGCACATACTTGTCAAGTTCCTATTAAGAATGAATCCCTTTATGTCTTCTAAGGGATGAAGATCGGAAAAAACTTTTCCCACACTTTTCACATTTATAGGGTTTCTCTCCAGTATGAACAATTTGGTGCTGATTGAGGCTATCAAGCCTAGAAAAGACTTTTCCACATTGTTCACATATATGGGGTTTCTCTCCAGTATGAACTCTCTGGTGTTCAGTAAGGGCTGAGTGATTTGGAAAGGCATAGTGGCATTCCCTACACTTATATGTATGAATTTTTTTGTGTTTTTTAAGGTCTAAAGTAGAGTAAAACATTTTGCCACATATTTCACATTTGTAAGATTTCTCCCCAGAATGACGCAATTTGTGCCAAGGAAGGTATGAGAGAGTAGAAAATGTTTTCCCACACTCTTCACATTTGTACGGTTTCTCTCCAGAATGAATTCTTTGGTGATCCTGAAGGTGTGGAAAAGAGTAAAACCTTCTGCCACATTCTTCACACTTGTAGGAATTCTCTTCTGAATGAATTCTCTGATGACGCTTAAGGAATGCAGAAGAGTAAAATGCCTTGTCACAGTCTTTACACTTATAGGGTTTCTTTCCAGAATGAATTCTTTGATGCCGCTTAAGCAATGAAGGATAGTGAAATGCTTTGCCACATTCCTCACACTTGTAGGGTTTCTCTGCAGAATGAATTATTTGATGTTTCTTAAGCAATAAAGGACAGTAAAATAACTTTCCACATTCTTCACACTTGTAGGATTTCTCTGCAGAATGAATTCTTTGGTGTACTTTAAGTAATGAAGGGTAGGAAAATACTTTGGCACATTCTTTACACTTGTAGGGTTTTTCTCCAGTATGATTTTTCCGGTGTCTATAACGTGTTGAGTGAGTACTAAAGGCCTTACCACATTCTTCACACTTGTAGGGTTTTTCTCCAGTATGAATTCTCTGGTGTACAGAAAGTTTTGATTGAGTATTAAAGGCCTTACCACATTCTTCACACTTGTAGGATTTTTCTCCAGTATGAATTCTCTGGTGTATAGAAAGTCTTGAGCGAACACGAAAGGCTTTACCACATTCTTCACATTTGTAGGGGGCCTCGTGTATATTTGTCTGGTGTTGAATAAGCAGTGAATTACAATAAAAGGCCTTGCTGTAATCTTTACCTTTATTGGCTGTTTTTCCTGTTGACCAAAAGTTGAGACATGAACAAAAGCTTAGCATATTCTTTATATTCATAACGCTTATCTTTAAAATGGGGACATTTACCCATACTCACATTCTGATGGAGAAATCAGAAATAACACTATATTTTTACACCTATGTTCACTGAAAATAACCCAAACTATAGTAGGTGGAAACAATCTAAACTTCTACTAAGTAAAAGCCTGATCAAATTGAATATAGAAATAATGGCATGCCAGGCGGTGGTAGCACACACCTTTAATCCCAGCACTGGGGAGGCAGACACAGGTGGATATCTGTGAGTTTGAAGCCAGCCTGGTCTATGTAGTGAGTTCCAGGACACCACAGAGAAACCCTGTCTCATAAAAAACAGAAAGAAGAAGAAGAGGAAGAAGAAAGAAAGAAAGAAAGAAAGGAAGGAAGGAAGGAAGGAAGGAAGGAAGGAAGGAAGGAAGGAAGGAAGGCACACTATTCAAAGTTAAGTAGCTAACTAAGTAGTAATTATCTACAATGAAGGAGTCTCTTAAGGGTACACACAAAAAGAAATAAATACCTTAAACAAACACAGGTATTAAATGTAGACATACATGGCATTACCAACCGAGAAAGGGGGAGATTAATAGTAATTTTGTGAGACTGGAGCCATATAGAAATACCATTTTTAAGCTAAGTATGAAGTTCAGAATTTTAGGTTTGAATTAAAGTATGTCTACCAAATCTTAAGTAATACACCTCACAATTTTCAGACAGCACTTCATGTTTTATTTGGATGACAAACATCTCAATGATATCATAATTATGAAAAAAATTTAGGTTCACCTATGAGTAACAACTTTTGCCAAAGAAAATATGTTGTCAGTGAAAAGGAGTTAAAATTGGCTGACTTTCTAAGAATTATTAATTTACAACCAATGAGCTATGAAAAGAGACAATGTTAAATGTATGAAAACATGAGACTTGTGTTTTCACATGAAGTGGAAATACACCATTCGCATATTCATATAACTGTGACGAAGTGTTCATAATTGGATAATCTATCCACAAAATTATATAGGTTACATATAGACAATTGATTACAGTTGGGAAAAGATCCTTGAATTCTCAATATTCTGAAATCTTATTGATAAGCTATTCAAATTCTTCTAGTTTGGGACAGTTTTAGTCTATGACTATATGTCCACAAAGGGTATGCATTCTAAATCCTTAGTGAGTATGGAATTAAAAATAAGAATACCTTTTCATCATTCACAAAGGACTCTAATGAGGTGATTTTGATCAACATGAGAATAAGTGATATAAAATACATTTATATGTGAAGTTACTGTCTTACAATGGTTTCACACATAGGTCTTTAGAAATGTGTGCAAATTTTCAGAGGTTTAGAAAATAGTGTGAAGTTACAATGTAAACTCAAAAAAATGACCTTTGGAAGTCACTGGAAATACAAGCACAGCTCAACACTGGGGAATTATTTAAGAGACTTAAACCATCATAAAGGTCTGAGAGATGCCCTTTGACAACAAAAGCAAAGAGAGACCTCAAGAATTATGTCCATATCATGATTCAAGGCAGATGGGAAAGTCTGCCTTTCTGTTGAATATTTGCACTTCAACTCTGTTCTTGACCGCCCCCCCATTCCTACACACCTGTATGCACAGTAGCTGCCACTTGTTTCTTCATACCCACAGGCCCTTGTTTTTGCTCCAGAAATGTCACCAGGTGTGGCTTAGAGAGAACTAGACCTGTTTGTAGGAAAAGGAAACAAGATGAAGTGTTCTTCTACTGGGAATTGGCATGTTTGTTCCAGTACACTGTTGATAAGGAAAGAGATGGTGTAATAAATGACTGCAGACAATCATTTCCTTAAATGTTTTCTCACAGGACCACTACAGTACATGAAGGAATTTACAACATCCAGATTCTGAGTTTCATTTAAGGGGAAAAAAACATTAAAACTGACTTGTGAAACATTTTCATTAATATATAAGGTACATGCCCATTGTAACTGAGTTTCTACCATTCCCATTAGTGTGAAGGATATATTCTTCCAACACAGACAGGTTAAACTCACAAAAAAAGAAAGCAATGTTTCTGAGCTAAACATATTCCCTAATTTTTCTTTAAAGCTAAACTATGAAACTTTTTGTTGGAAAGCACAAGCTCCCGTGAGATGATGTATAGAGTGAGGAAGTTACATGCTGACAATAAGATAAGAATTCCCAGTGGAAGTGATCCTCACCCAGGAAATCAAGGTGGCTGTAATTCTCCAACATCACATCCCTGTACAAATTCCACTGAGCAGGCTCCAGGCATTCCCTCTCTTCTGGAGAGAAATCAATGGCCACATCCCCGAAGGACAGCATTTCCTGAAATAAAGATTAATGCCATTAATAACAGACATTGTGGGATGAGTTCTCTGTCAATGTGACACAAGCTAGGGTCATTTGAGAGGAAGGAACTTCAACTGACAATGTGCATTCCAGAAGAATGTCCTGTGTGCAACCCTATAGGAGGCTGTTTTTAATTATTCACTGACATATGACAACCCAACTCATTGTGGGTGGTACAACCCCTGGGCAGGTGGTCTTAGATGGTATAAGAAAGCAGGATGAGCCAGGTGGTGGCGGCGCACGCCTTTAATCCCAGCACTCGGGAGGCAGAGCCAAGCGGATCTCTGTGAGTTCGAGGCCAGCCTGGACTACCAAGTGAGTTCCAGGAAAGGCACAAAGCTACACAGAGAAACCCTGTCTCAAAAAACCGGAAAAAAAAAAAAAAAAAAAAGCAGGATGAGCAAGCCATGGATAGCAAGCCAATAAGCAGTGTTTTTTATGGCTTACACTCCAGTTCCTGCCTACAGGTTCCTGCCTCCTTGACTTCCCTCAGTGTTGGACTGTTACCTGAAGTTGTAAGTTGAAATAAATACATTCTTCTCCAAGTTGCTTTGCTCATGGACTTTATCATTGTAAAAGAAACTCTAACCCAGGTATCCTGTACTTGTGTTACACAATTCTATATTTTGCCCAGGATGAAAAGAATGCTAGATATAGGTGACATGTTTCTAACAAAGCTGAATCATATTCCTCAGACACTTCAAATGTGGTCATATGATTTCACACTGGACCCATCAAGGAAAGAGAAGAGTTTCCTATAAGTTCACGTGGAAACTCTTAAGACGGATGAAATGTAAAATGAATGTTTCCATAGAAAAACATGCATTTAGTCCTACATGCTTGTTTTATCTACCAAACATATATACATTTTTCACAGGAGAAAGCCATGGTCAGAGGGAAGGAACTCCTCAAACCCTTAATATGAACAATCATGAATATGAAATGCAATGAAAATGCAGTTTCTGATGTAGCAGCAAGGAGCTGATGTCTGGATTTCTTAATTTGTACAGAGTCCAGTAGTGATGCTAATGTCAGTGCACCAAGAGACACATGATGGAGCACCCAAGGGATAGAACAACACCACCAAAAAAAAAAAAAAAAAGAACTCACAGAAAAATATGTTAGGTATCAGAACCAATAAGAATCAGCAAGTATAGGAATAACAACATTTTTTTTTTTAGTATTTCAAATACACTAGACTTCATTCTGACTTGGTTATTTCCCTTTTTCTCTTTTTCTCAGACATATACTGACCTGTTTGATATATTCTTAAAGCATGTCTTCACCATGTGACATCTGTGTCTCACTGTGTTGTGTTGAAGAATTATAATGGGTGGCTGGGGTAGACTGAATGAAAATGGCCCTCATAAGCACATCTATTTGAATACTTTGTCCATAGTTAGTGGAACTCTTTGGAAGGATTACATGGTTTTTTAGAGTAGATGTGACCCTGTCGGTGGAGATGTGTTAATGGACTTTGAGGCTTCAAAAGCCCAATGTAGGCCAAGTATCTCTCTACCTCTTGCCTGTGGATTAAGATGCATGATCTCACCTACTGCTCCACCACATCTGCTTGCCTGCTACCATGCTCTTCACCATGCCGATCATTAACTAACCTTCTGAAACTGTAAGACGGCCCCAGACTAAATGTTCTGCTTTATCAGTTGTCTTCTGCATCGTCTCTCTTCATAATAACAGAACAGTGACTAGGATAGCAACAGGAACAGTTTTTTCTTATTTTTAAATTTTCAATATTTCAGAGTTTTTTTCATATTATTGCATCAGGTCCCAAAATGACTTATGAAAGAAATCATATTATACTTCTTCCCCTTTTTTAATGAAAAAAATTAGAGATTTATATATTAATAAAGTATTTTGTAATAATTTTATGGATAAACTTTGCATAATCTTTCCATCAGTTTTAGTATGCTGATTTCCTCAAACACTATTTTTTATTATTAAAATCCCAAAAAGACTGTCTTATATGCTTCTGAAATGTACACAACATAATGTTTACATACATCCAGCATTCAGAGCAACAGTACTGTGAACTTCATCCTCCTATGGTACTGTTTCAGAGCATCCAAGTTCAGTATGTCCTCAAGCCTCAGCTTTCTGATGTCACTGGCCAAGGAGAAAAAGCATTATATTTCCAACTTCTATTAGTTATAACTCTTTACTTTTAACATATGGATGATATCATGTGATACATGTCTCTCTGTGCCTGAAATAATTTCCAGTTTCAGTCATATTGTCACAACTTACATGACTTTATTCCTTTTTTTCTGAAATATTAATTAAAATAAATAAAAAATTCCCAATCTCTCTCCTAACTCCAATCGTATTCTCTTCTAAGTTCTATGACTTTATGTTCCAGACATATATTCTCCTCTAAGATCCATAAACTAACTAGCTATGGATATTTGCCTAGGTTTCTAGTATTCTTGATATGGCCTTAAGTCCAATTGGACAGCTGCTGTTTGTGTGAAGATGTGAGTGGCACTGAAGCATCTTTAGGGGCATCTGTTCACATTGGTCATCGCCGTGGTTCATAGGTTAAAAAGCTAAGGGGGACTAGTTATTCCTTCCCTCCCTGGGAAGCTTGCAAAGCAGTTTCACAGAGAAGGGGACTTTCAGGTCAGATCCAGGTCCAGTCCTCTGAGTCTTGGGTCTGAAATGCCTGGTGTTTTCAGCAATGGGAAGAAGGAGTAGCTATAGTCAAAAGACTTTTGGCACAGAGGAACCATACTTTGTAAATAAAAATTATGCTGAAAAATATCTTTACTTATGAATAAAGTAGCAGAGAGGAGGCCAATAGATTTCCAAGTCATAAGCAGATTGAAGGAAGATGATGAAGAGAAATCCCTGTCATTTCTTGAGGAAAAAGCCATTACACTCTGTTGAAAGCTTCCGTGTAGCTAGTAGAACACGTCCCCACATTTCAAGTAAATGAAAACCACAGATTCCACTCTTCCATACTTAGCAGATCACCGACAACAGGTCAGCTTGGAGAACTGCAGGAACTCAGGGCAGAGTGAAGATGGAAACCTCGTTCTCTCTGAGAAGTAGAGCAGGTCCCCAGTGGTGAACTGACTGCAAGGACCTCTCCCTAACGCTGCCCAGCACCCGTTACCACTGTTCTAGATGGGGAAGTGTTGCTGTGCTGAGGCCGCTCTCCGCACTGTGGGCTGCCTGGGGATGCGGGGCAGAAGGCCTGCCACCATTTAATTGAAATTTTATCTAATATAATTAAAGCAAACATTTCAGGAGGAGTTGAGACTGGCAATGTTCACTTCCTATGGAGAGGAAATGCAAATAAATTCTGGCCTGAAGGGGACAAACTGTGATTCATTAAAAATTACCGCAAATTCATTCCAATCCCCGAATCAGGCAGTGGAGTCCAACTGTCCTCCCCTCGAATGGAGGCTGGTCCTAGAGACAAGCCTACAACACAGTAGACAGAGCCGAACTCATAAGACCTCTTGTATCTATGTCCGTGTCCCTCAGAGATTTTGCTTTTGACAGAGGCCAGACAAACTGAGTACTAGGAGATTGTGCAGAAGTCAAAACTAAGTGCAAAGCAAGGGCTGTATTATCAATCAGGCTTTACACAATAATGACTCTCCATTTAGTCTGCGCTTATCTATCAATTAAAGAACACACTGCTTTAAAAATACACTAAACACATCATGAAGTGCTGTGGAACAATGCTTTTCTACACTATGAATATGTATTACTCTCAATGGTTAATAAAAAGCTGACAGGCCAGTAGCTTGGCAGGAAGTGAGGTGGGAAAGCCAAACTGAGGATGGGAAGAAGGAGGGCAGAGTGGGGAGAGATGTGAGCTAGACTCCTAGGAAGCAAGACATGCTAGAGGACAGGAAAAGCCACAAGCCATATGGCAATACATAGATTAATAGAAATGGGTTAATTTAAATATAAGAGCTAGTTAGTAATAAGCCTGAGTTATTGATGGAGCATTTGTAATAACATAAGCCTCTGTGTGTTTATTTGGGACCAGGCTGTTGGGACAGGAAACATCCCTTTACACTGAAGTAACAATGCACTGATCTATCCCAACCTTTGACACACATAAGTGTGGCACACAGCAATCATTAATTTTTGCTTTAAGTCCACACATTTTTGCAATGTGATGACCCAGATACTGTATATGGAACCCTAAAACTGACATGATAGATCATATGCAATGTATTTATTGAAAAAAATGGAATGAATAATTAGAATTTTAGCTTCAACTTAAATATCACATGCTTTGCTCTGTATGACAGAAGGTCTTGATGTATCCGGATTTTAAATAATCAGTACATTGTTACTAAATCTTAATACAATAGTAAGTGATGTATATCCAACAAACAGTTGGGACTCACATTCTCATCCACTGACTTACGTAGCTCCACAAAGAAAAGAACAATGGGATGCAGAATTTAAACAGCTGGCTAGCCAATTTGACACATACCTTTCAACTCAAAATATGTCAGTTTATTTGAAAATAATTTTGGATGGACTCAATGACAGAAACTTTTATAACCCTAAAAGACAAAGTAATGAAGATCTGTGTTTCTGAAATTAATTCCATGCATACATGTTTGGTTTCTATTTAATTCTGTCCAAATATCTTCTGTAATTTCTCTCAGTGGTCTCTGGCATAATCATATAGACAACCATGAATTGGATTCCATTATCCAGCACACTTTCCCTTCAGAGTTTTCCAGGAATGACCTGTCTAACATAGCAAGATTAGTACTGGAGTCTGTAAAAACCAGTAACTCCTTCCCTCATAGCATTGCTTCCACAAACACTAGCATACAATAAAAATACCCTGGAATCGGCAGGGCTGGACACTATAGGGACTAAACTCCTCCCCATGGAAGAGTAATAAACAGAACTTTGCTTTGCTGGATGGATGACAGAGAACCACATGTGAGTGACAGTGGAGGAGGTAGATGTCATCACCCACACGGAGAGTAGGTTCTGTTTTGGGTAAATGTAGAGAAGCAGTCCACACACACTTTAACCTCTGGTGAAGGAGGGAGAAGGCATCCAAGGGGCGGAGAAGCAGGGAAGAATGTTAACCACTGTGGGCTGCATCAGTCACCGAGAACTCCAGAGAGGGAATGAGGTCCGTTTACTTTAAATCACATGAATATGCACAGGTCTGTGAGTTCTTCCTCACCCTGCTGACCCGACACAAAAGCCTGGCACCCTGGCCCAAAAGCCTTTCCACCTGCTCCTGGGGCTCCGGCTGATGGACTGGCTCAACAAGTTCAAGGCTAGATCAAGGCATGTTTATACAACAGTTGTGTTTCTTGAGAGTTATTAACCATAACTTAGGGATGGAAGGCCCTTCAAAGGCTTAAAACACCCCAGTCCTCAAAGTAAAGCTGAGCATCAACTCCCCGAGTTCCTGCTCTGCAGTGCGTCCTTCCCTCTGTGTGTCTGTTGTTCCTTCACCCCTAGTCACAGCTTTTCTGGTAAATTTGTCTGCAGAGTTCCAGAGTTTCCCAGCTGCGAACTGTTATGTCTCAGTTTGTTTGTTTGTTTCCTTTTAATTCAGGAACTGGCCGGAAAAACAAAGACAATAATACCCCCAAGATCATTACAAGGCTTGCTAGGGAGCATATGAGAGATTAAAAAAAAAAAAACCCAACCTACTCTAGAGGTACCGAGAAAACCGTCAACATCCATCTGAGAGTGGGTAAAAGAGAATGTACCCGCCCCCCGCCAAGCTCCCAGGACCAACTGAAATGCAGCTTCTCGACTGACCCACCAAGTCCTGGCAATCCAGAACTTTCAGTGTCCTAACAAAACCATCAGTCGGCATCAGACACGCCCTCTCCCCACTCCTGACCTGGACCTTATGGCCCAGCACAAAAGGTCAGCACAGTACCCCCAAGGCATCCTTTTCTGCCCTCCCACCCAGGTCCGCTCCCTCCAAGACGGACCCCCGCACCCCGCACAGTGCGTCAGGCCGCGCTGCACCCTGGACCAACCTCCATGTCAGAGACGCAAGAGGAATGCACAGCAGGACAGGACTCTCGCCCAACTTTGGGGAAATAGCACACTTTCAGACAGAAAGAACAAGTATTGTTTCCGGAGTGGGTCTCTGTGACGTCACAAGGACCAGACTACATTTCCCACAAGTCTGCGCGAAGGAATTCCGGGAACCCTGGTTTGGCGATTTCTTATGTTCCTGGATTTGTCCCTGGCAACCAGCAGTAGAGTATGGAAGAAGAAGCGGGGATTGCAGGGCAGCCATGGGGAGTGAGGCTGGAGTTCACCTCCTGACCCACAACACGAGATGTGTGAATGTGAGTCGAGCCTTTGACAGAAATATTAGAGGCCATTTCTGGTCCATGACCTGACTGTGTAAATAGTTTTGTACCTTCTCTAAAGACATACTGAACTAGCTTAGGACAAGGCAAATGGTGACTCCTTTAAAAGGTTGATTAATGGACTGCATCATATGATGTAATGCCGTCCAAATATTTCCCCAGTGCTGCTTGAAAAACAAAGATTTTACTATCCATTTATGCATATGGGGAATATTTCTTACCTTATGGATCATGTGCCTTCTGGCTGTCCACCTTCTGGCCTATTTCTGTGGTTATCCTTTTCTTGGTTGCAGGTCATCTGCAACCAAGGTCAGCTTCACATGCTGATAATGCTGGGCCTCTTGCTCAGGAAGGATTACATGGCTTTTTATTAGCATGTGCAGCTTGTGAGCATTCTAATTCAAAGAAGCAAAAGAAGGCTTCATAGTCAGAAGAGCTGTTCTACAGACACCAGTAAGTGGTAATGAGCAAATATATTTAGTCACTCACCGCTTCTTGTTACCTTGTTTCTACTAGAAACTATCAGAGCATAAATATGCAGGCTCATCATATACATCCAAGCAAAGGATGACATATTCCTTCTGTTCATTTCCTTAGTCTATGGAATCGTTTCCCGCTCTGTTGCTATCATAGCACACGCTGATAAAAAAGCACCTTGGTGGTGGAAAACCATTATTTGCCTCACAGGTTATGAACTACACCCAGGTTAGGTTTTGTTGATGACACAGGGTAGTTATCTGGGAAGACGTAGCTCAAATGAGAAACTGACTCCATCTACATCTCCTGTAGGGCATTTCCTTTATTAATGATTGATGTGGGTGGGCCCTGTTCTTGGTGTGTTTAAGGGGGATGGGACTTCACCCCTGTGCAGGTGGTCCTGAGCAAGAGAAGAGACCAGGCTGGAGAAGCCAGTGAGCAGCATTCCCCCATGGCTTCTGCCTCCCATTTCCTGTGCTGATTCCCCTGTCATCTGGAAGTGTAAACTGAAATAAACCTTTTCCCCCCCAAGTTGTGCCTTTTGTTATCATGTTTTATAACAACAGTAGAAGCCGAATGAATACAAACCATCATTGAAGGAAGTCAGAGCAGGAGGTCCCGGAAAGAAACTGGAAGCAAGGACAGAAGCAGAAACCATGGAAATATGCTGCTTACGGGCTTGCCCCGTTGGCTTGCCCAGTTTGCTTTATTAAACAACCCAGGAGCAGCTGCTAAGGGTCTGAGCCTTCACGCATCAATTATCAATCAAGAAATTGTTCCACAAACTATAGGTCAGTCTGATAGAGATAATTCCATAATTACGGTTCCATCTTCCTAGAGGATTAACTTGTGTCAAGTTGATAAAATCTAACCATCATACTCTCCTATTTGGAAGTCCATGTTAGTCATTTTAAATAGCTCTTAGGAGTTTTCAGATGCTGAAGAAGGGAAGATACACCTATGTGGGGGGAGAACTTTTGCCAAACATGCATGAACAAAATTATAAATCAGTTATATATGCGAGTGGTGATACCCTATCACTCCCCCCTCCCAAGCAACCTTGCAGCCATGCCATGGATGATTTATTACCACTTTACTTTGTCAAGTTGAGAAGTGCCATATAGTGTTCGATACATTAATAAAAATATATCCCTGTTAATTGTATAGATCAAGTACAGGGAATGTGATGGACACAGGATGCTTCTAGACTGTTAAGGTTGGAACGGCCACCCTGTATGTTGGTGTAACTGTTCCGTGGGATAGGCTCATGGACTAATAAAAAGGAGAAGGGGTTTGTGGTGGTTCAAATGAGAATGCTTCCCACCCCTAGCTCATACATTTGAATTCTTGGTCCCCAGTTGATGTAACTGTTCTGGAAGGATTAGGAGATATAGCCTTGTTACTGCTCCAGCGCCATGCCTGCCTCCTGCCATGCTCCCCACGTGATAGTCATCAACTCTAACTCCCTAGAACCATGAGCCCCAAATTAAGTGCCTTCTTTTTTAAGTTGCTTTGGTCATGGCATTTTAATACAACAGAAAACTAAGACAAGTGGGGAAAAGCACAAACACCATTTTGTTTTTTGACTGTGAATCAATGTGGTGAGATATTTCAAGGTCCTGCACCATAATTTTCCCACTGTGGTGATCTGCAGCCTCAAACTCTTGGTCTAAATAAACTCTTCCTTTCTTCAGTTTCTTTCTTTAAAAAATTACTTATTTTACACCCTGGGCACAGTTTCCCCTCCTTCCTCTTCAGTTTCTAGTAACAGATGTTTTATCACACTAGTAAGACAAGTATCTACATTACCCATCCACAGGTTTTTTCCTTCAGTGCAAGAAAATACCTGATTCAACTATGAAATAATGAATCTTATGAATAGAGATTCAGAATTTCTTTAATTAAAAAATGATGTATATAGGTGTTTATCCTGCGTGTGTGTCTGTGCAGCATGTGCAAGCATTGTCCATGGTGGTCAGAAGAGGACTTCAGATCCTGGTAACTGGAGGTTGTAGGTGGAGTTTTCCTGTCCCAACTGTCTGCTCCCAGATAACTGACACAGAGGCTTATAGTACTTACAAACGCTCGGCCAGTAGCTCAGGCTTATTATTAACTTGATCTTACAACTTAAATTAACCCATTTCTATTAACCTACATTCTGCCATGTGGCTGGTGGCTTTACCTGTCCTCCAGCATGTCGTGCTCCCCCTGCAGCTCCTGGTGGCTCCTCCTCTTTGCCCCTCTTTATCCCAGTATCCTCAGTCTGATTGTCCCGCCTGACTATATCCTGATTGCTACAGAGCAATCAGCTTCTTTATTAACCAATTAAGAGTAATACATATTTCCAGTGTACAGAAGGATTATTCCACAGCAGGAGGTAGAGCCAGTTGTGAACTGCCAGAACCTCTAGAAGAGCAGCCACTGCTCTTAACCACTGAGCCATTGCTATAGCCCCAGATTCAGACATTTGTCCTAAGGCACTGAACTAGCAAATAAAATGAAAGAACATAAAAATAAGTTTAGGTATCATGAGAAAAAGAGGCTTGTCCTTCAAACACAAAGCAAATTTAACATTAAAAACAAATCACAGTGATACTCCAACAGAACAAAAGGTGCAAAGAAACAAATGAACAGGCAGAATAGACATTTTTTAAATGTTCAACACCCTTCCAGGTTTAAGATCTCAGCAAAACAAGCGTAGAAAGAAAAATTTCCACGTAATATTGGCAGTTGTTAAAACAACAACAACAAACTAAATCTATAAACAACAACAAAAAAGCCAATCTAAACAAATCCAAAACTTGGAGCTCACATCACACAAACAAACAAATAAACAAACAAACAAACAAACCAAAACATTCAATCCTTTCCTCACAGATCCAGTCTCATCACTAATCCCTACATCATCCTCAAGTATTGTCCAACGCTTCCATAAAATAAAAAGGAAGAAAAGACACCTAAATCAAGAGGTGAGAAGTACTCACCTCTACTTTTCTACATGACATCCTACAGGCAGAAAACCCTAAGCACTTTTTTAAATATCATTAGTACATAGTGGACACCAATAAATTTCAGGCCTAAAAATTAAAGTTTAAAATATTGAACATTTGCATTTCCTAACAGAACAGCAATCTGTCCGAAAAAATCAAATAAATAATCCCATTCATGACAGTATAAAAATATTTGAATAAATTAAACCAACAAAGTGAGAACTTTGTACAAAGAAAATTATAAAATGTCCATGAAATAAAAAAGAAATACTTGAATGGATTGTAATACATCTTAAGCTCATGGAGTGGAAGAATTTGTAGTATTGAAATGTCAATTCTACAAAATGCAATCTATATAAAAAATGCAATTTCTAGCCAACTTTCAGTGGGATTCGTTGTAACTAGAAATTTATATAAAGTGAACATAGAAATGGGTTCACTACGTTCGAAACTCACATTTTCCATAATTGTGGGCTTTCTCTCCAGTATGAATTATCAGATATATAGGAAGTCCTCAATGTCTATAAAATACCTAGACTAATTATTTACCCTTCTCTCCCTAATGATTTGTTGATGTTTCTTAAGTTGAGGAAGATAGGGAAACATTTTACCAGAGTCTTCATACTTATAGGGCTAATTTCCAGAATGAATTATTTGATATTGCCTAAGGCTTGAAGTAAAGTAGAGCATTTTCCCATATTCTGCACATTTGTAATGTTTTCCTCAGTATGAAGTAATTTGTGTTGAGAAAAGTATGTAAAATTACAAAAGACTTTCCCACATTCTTCACAATTGTAAAATTTTTCTCTAGAGTGGATTTGCAGGTGGTTAGGAAATTGCCATCGAGTTTTAAAGCCTTTGTTACATACTTCATACTAACAGGGATTCTTTTGAGAATGAATTCTTTGATGTTTCTTAAGGCAAGAAAGACAGTAAAACTTTTTGCCACACTTCACATTTCCAGGATTTCAGTCCAGTATGACCCACATTCTGCAGAGCAGAGGATGAATGACTAGAAGAGGCTTTTCCATGTCCTTCATACTTGACAGGTTTCTCTCCTGTGTGAATTTTCTGGTTTTAAAAAAGTACTGATGGAACACTAAAGGCCTTACCACATAGTTCACACTTGTAGGGTTTCACCTGTGTGTGGATTTTCCAGTGTTTAATAAGGAGGGAGTTCCAATCAAAGGCTTTATCACATTATTTACATGTAAGGCATTTTGTTCCTTTGATTAAAAGTTGATATATGAATAAAACTGGAAACAATCTAAAATTCCAATGAAATAATAATAAGAAAAACAAGGCAGACTACAGAAATAAC